TGCATTTTAACCAACTTTCTTGATCTTCTATATAATCTTTTAAGTCTCCTGTCATATCAGTCAATTTAAATTTCTTAAATTTATGATGCTTTTCTTTAATTTTATTTCTTAAACTCTTTGTGAGCCAACTTGGTTTTTTACTTGTAGCTACACTTTTCTTTCTACTAGGAATATGTTTACATTGAATATTTAAAAATTTTCCACATTTGATCAGTGTCTCCAAATTACTCAGCTGCCCAATTCACAACAGATAACTCTTGTCACATTCCTTCAAAATATGCTTTTTAAATTTTAATGCAGGCATATCGCATTCTCTATTCTCTTAATTGTTCAATAATTTTTCAAATTTTCAGTATATTGCAAGTCTATTTTTAGTATAGAACATCAGTCTAGGAAAAAATAGTTTTCATGTCTTGATTATTCATAGGATTGCCCTCATCACCATGTGTTTTCCTTTAGAAAAGATCACTTGAGTGTGAATTATACGAGCTGAACCAGTGATCTGTTCTAACAGCAAACCATGGAATTTTCTTTGGGGTATGCAGAACCAGCCTTAGCCAAAATGGCACCCAGGGTGGAATATGCATTTGTTGCCATACACATTTCCTACATTTTTCATCTTCTTTATTAATTTTTTTCTCTTCATTGACTTCACATGCCAGATAATTAAGATTTTCACACCACTTATACTATACTACTGATAAAATGGCATGTGTGTATATATATGCAACATATGTAAAAATAGGACTTAAAAAATAGTAGAGAAACTAGTGGGCACTACTTTTACTTTTTAGGAATGCTCCAAAGATTGTATTCAGATTGATAATTTTTATGAGGGGCTTTTGGTGCCTCCAGGGCAGTTACACACTGAACAGTTGCCTGGTTCTCCCAACCCTGGGAGTTTGTTCCACCCCCTTGTTTTTATAATAAGGGAAGCACATGCATCTGGGGAGAGTTTTGTATTATTGTTTAAGTGATACTGCTATAGAAATTTGGAGAATATTTACTTTTAATACGAGGATATTGATATACTATTATTAGCTAGGTGTCTGATAAGCATCTTGTGTTCAGATTCTAAAGACAGACTGCATAGTGAAATATCTTTTTTCAAGACATACTTTCTCCTAGACTTGAGTTTGATTTCAACAAGAATTAGATTCTACTTTAATATATCCTAAGACCTTATTAGTGAAAGGAAAGAATATGTTATAATACATCAAGCACCCTACAGCTGTCACATGCAATGCCGATGAGACCTTTCGCTCAATACCAGGGCTCATCAGGCCAGCTGTATCACAACAGACGTAGTAGTGGTCTAGGTGCTTTTTATATCATTATGGTATGAACCAGATTAAGTAAGTGAATTATAATTCTTGTCAGTTTTATTTACATCATTTTCAAATTAGATTTTTAGAGTAATGATTGCATCCAGTCTCTTTCTTTTCATTAAGACTCGGTAAAAGGGAGAGAAAATTTAGGCACTGCTTTGCAAATCATTACTTAATGAATCATCTTGTTTTTGCAGTTCCTACATGGAAGTCAGAGAATATCATGCATGTAGTATATACAGATTTTTATGGTAACTGGATAATTAGTAACAAATAATTACATAATTTCTGAACTTTGCCATAGTACTCTAATACATACACAGTGTATTTTTACTTCTATAATGGGCATTTGTATATGTATTATGTGAGAGTAAAAGATACTTGGCATATTTCGTGAGCTATTACAATGCCAGGTCTATGATTACATTTTACTCCACTACACACACAGGAGTTTTTTTGTAATTACTAGTAATACAACCTGTAAGCTATTATATAAATTTTCATATCAAATCATATTCTAAACATTCATAGTTACAGGTGTAATTGTGATACATAATCACTTCATGAAGTGATCGACTTTCATCTAATTTAAAATTACTACCAAAAGTAATAATTACATTTTATTATTCATTCATCACATAAATAAGGATGCAGATATATCTTGCAATATACATTTGTACTATTTAAGTTTGATATTTTAGTTTTGATAAAATTGTAATTATATGTAACAAGAGAAAAAAAAAATGATTGCAAAGAAGGTTGGGATCTATTATGGAAATCTTTCCAAATTTGTTCTTCTAATCTTTCTCTATATATTTTTAAATTTCATCTTTCAAAAAAAATTCTACTTTAAAAGCCCTAAAAATGCTTTACTTTTAATTGCATCAAATGATGATGTTACTTTTATAATTAATTACTCAGAAAATTTAAGCAACAATGTGATTTTATAAGCATATTACAAATTAGAAGAGGACAAAAAAAAAGAGAGAAGTATGAAGTGGTTAGTTATTTTATGAAGATCCAAAATAAGCAATATTTATTAAATACTATTAATGAAAATAGAAAGGTATATCCTTCATTATTAAAATAATAATACTTATTTCATTAACATATTATTATGGACTTGCACAATACAAAAAATAACTAAAATATATGTACAATATTTAAGAACTAATTATAATTATTAAAATTAAAAATACCAATTTTAGATTGCTGAACTCTTTCTGTATCCAGTGTTTTTTGGAAATGAGCTAAAAAAAATCGAGTTTTTCATTTCCCTTTTTTCTAGCCTATACTTATATATATTAATAAAAAAAAAGTTCTTTTATAATCTGTTATTATATTTCTGCATAAAATATATTTGATAAATAAATGTCACATGTCTGGATTTATACGTAATATATATATATTATTTCAATGAAACTACATTAAAGAATAGAAATACCTTTATCTAGTGTTTATGATAGATAATTACAAATAAATACCATAGAGATCAGCACAAACAGCATTTCCAATGCCATCTAGTAAGCACTGATTGTAATATATGATAACATGTGAATAAATTTGAGTGAATAATTTAAATATATGGTGAGAAATGGTTTGCCCAAATTAACTCGGGCAACTACATTTATAAACATGGAAGCCACCCAAGTTATTTCAGGCAAGTCACAAAAAGAGGTTCAAGAGGCAATTAAGTTGCACTGCCTAGTCTTAAAACTTCTCAGGCAATGGAAGTTTTCAATATATTTCTATTACTTTTGTTTTATTACTGAAATAGTTTCTCAAAGAAGAATTTTTCCAATAGTATGGTTTCAGTTTTGTTTTGGAATGCATGTATATCTTTGATATTGAACAATAAAAATTAACTGCTTGTAATAAAATCTGGTAAATTTATAAATATAAATGAACAAATTTACAATTATTACATATATGAAAAGTTTGTTACTAAAATAAATGTTTTTAGATACAAATTATATATATATATATATATAAGATGCAATTAAATTCTATATACACTTGAATAAGTTTTGAATTAAATAAATACAGATGCCAGTACATAGTTTTGATATAGACTTTGGTGATGTAAAAATTACATACATTACATTATATTTAAACTTTCTCTCCAAAACTTTAAAGACATTAAAGGAAGTTATCACCCCTTATTACTTTTGTAACTATTTACTATATTTTTAAAAATCATAAATCATACTATACTGTTTTTTGTTAGATGGACACTGACTGGAAAATATCATAAAATTCTGTAGACTGAAATTTATCATGTTGTAATTTGTCTGAGAAGAACCAAAATATAAAAAATATAGTGGCATGAATAAAAGTTTTTCTTACAGATATTAACACTAAGTTAATGATGTTAACTGGTACGTACATATACAATAGTTAACTGCATTCTCACAATTAGAATTGAATTAAGTGAAATGATTTTCACACTTTATATGATGGAATGTTGTCTGCTAACTTACAACACTAGAAACCAAGTTTCGATACCCATGGTGGACAGAGCACAGACAGCCCATTGTGTAGCTTTGTGCTTAACTTCAAACACTGATTGAATGTCAATAAATACAATTAGTTTCAGACTTTTAACAACACTAATATATAATTATATGAAAATTATATAAGCTTATATTACATTTACACTTGTGTTTATTATGAGATCCAAATAATTATCCAGAACATACAGTTCCAATATTAGGATAAAAAGTTACTATTAATTTCATTTAGTAATTCATTAATCAATGTAAAAAATGTGCAACAACAACAGAAATAGATATAAAATATGACCTGATCCATGTCCTAAAACCTCATTTTTGAGAAAATGGCTCAAAACATTTGTATAAAAATGCTTCTCAATGAACAATGTATCCACAACACAAGAAAAAGAACACCTGATACATACATAAAATATTCTATATATTCAAATATTTATGTACGATGACTAAAGATTGACTGTTTGTCTGTTGTTAAGCACAAAGTTACACAATGGGCTATCTGTGCTGTGCCCATCATGAGTATTGAAACTCTGTTTTATAGTATTATAAGCCTTCAGACTTACTTGCTAAAAATGTACTGAAACTTGAAGATTTTTGAATTTTTATAAAGATAAAAGTATTTCATGTATTACATATATAAAATTTAGTAATTTTCTTTACAAATTTTGATATAAAAATTCTCGAAACTTATGATTTGCTTTAAATAACAAGTAAGAATCAACATCAAGGAACAACCTAAAAAACATTTCTTGATCTGATTATTTTACTAATTTAGTCCTATTAATATTGTATATTTTGGTAAGAGATAAAATCATTAACTAAAATGTAAAATTTATAATTATAAAATTATTATTATTAGAAAATACCAGTAGCAGAAATTACAACTAATACAAGATAATTTTGTTTACGCTGACTCAATAAATGCCAAATAATGTCCAAATCATCCAAGTAATAATTTTGATTCAAAATTGTAATGTTATATAATGCAAAAAATAAAGATTTTAAACTTCTTTATATCTCCACTTAGTCCTAAGTGAAATGTAAATGGCTAGAGACTAAAGTTCACCTTTAATTAGATACCTGGAGCACTTGTTTTTTTAAACTGTTATAAGAGAGTAACATTATCAATTTAATTTCTGTGGTAAGTTTTAAAAATTTATATTTCTATAACTATGACATGCTTTTTATATTCACATATGTATTTATTTACATATTTCAAACTTCTGAGAACATACAAGTTTCGTGTTATGACATACTAGTGCCAAGGATATATATATATATTTAGTCTAAACATTTATAGTTGATCATAAATTATTATCTTTTCAGATATGCTTGCACTTTTTATAAGCTTTTAGCACTACATCGTAACAGCAGAGAAAACAGTAATGTATAATTTTTCAGTCTTTGGAATAAAAATGACTGAAAAAATGGTTGTTCAAACTTCATCTTTTGCACAAATAAAAGTGGTACATATCTGTAGTGTTCATTTTAAAGATACATTAATTCAAAAGGATTAGAAATAGTATCTCATTTATATAAAAAAAAAGCACTTCTGAAATTAGCAAATGGTATTATCCCAAAAATTTTGCAATATTTTTCACTGATACCTTAAATAATAGCTAGCATAGACATGAAGCACCAATGTGAAGATGAAAAGGTAGGCATAATAACAATAATTAAAAAAAAAGCTAAATCCTTGCCGAACCTTTATAAGACACATAAGGTCAGTGCTTTTGAACTCTGATTCCAATGGCACAAGTGGATGAGAATGGTACCCCATTCCCTCCTGGAAGAGATGCCAGTCCATCACAAGTTAACCCCCAGCTAACAGCTAGGTACCCATCCTACAGATGGATGAACTGGAACAAGAGAGGTAAAGTGTCTTGCTTATAAACATGGCAGCATGACGTGGGCCAGCCTCAAACTCATAACCATCTGACTCAAGTTCAAATCGAGAAGCCAATTAGCCACGCTGCCCCAGGCATAATAAATATGCATGTAAATGGGAAAGAAATAAACTTTTATTATAATATAAAGTTCTTGGACATAACCAATAACTTATACTTCTATTTTCAATAAGTGAATTTTTTCTTTATAATACATAATGTTAGTAGTATACTAACTACTTTAACAGCTATACTAAAATAAAATAACATTAATTGTAAAAAACATAATGAAGACTCCTAGGAACAAGAAAAGCACAGGTGATAGTTCTATTTCAAACCCTAATATATATATATATATTTTTAAGCTGTTTTCTTTCTAAAGTATAAATCTACAAGGTACTTCCCGAAATGTGAGCAAATAAGACTTGTTTTACAGAAGAACATTGTACACCATATATCACTTCTCTGTTTTATTCTTCCTGGTAATCTGAATATATTTCAATACCACTAACACCTCTAACTACTTTGTTAAAGTTGATTGCTTTTATATATTAACAAAAAACAGAGAAGTTAATATAGATCAATGTGTTTTTTCAGCTGATTCAGGAAACTAGAGAAGATTTTGATATAAGAAATGAACTTTCACTTCCAGAAATCCAATGATAATAAAATATAATTTTGTTAGTGTTGAAAGTCATATAAGAAATGAACTTTCACTTCCAGAAATCCAATGATAATAAAATATAATTTTGTTAGTGTTGAAAGTCATATAAGAAATGAACTTTCACTTCCAGAAATCCAATGATAATAAAATCTAATTTTGTTAGTGTTGAAAGTCATGTAAGCTTCTGTTTTAGCATAAAAAAAAAAAACAGTTTGGGAGTGTTGCACATCATAGATGCTTGTATCATATAAGTTTTAGAAACCATGTCTGAGTGTAGTATACATCCATACATTGCAATTATGAGGCATGCATTTATTTTTACTTAATAATATTTTTATGCATATGCTTTATCTACAGTTCACCACATGTGGAAGTCAGACTAAGGTGGATGAACCAGGTAGCAATCTTGTTAAAGGAACGTCAGGCAGAACTGTAGTAAATTCAAATACCAAAACTGATAGTGTACGAAATATGCTTAAAATGTGTACAAGTAAAGCCAAGGTTCACAAGCTGCAATACAAAGTATCAAACAAGTGTATCTATATCAGCTGTTCAGACAGAAATTATAAACGTTAAAGATGTATCACTTTGCACAGAAAATATATTCAAGGAAACACTAGGAAAGGTTCATAGATACAAATGTACAGTCCCCACAAAAAACAACAAGAAATACTTCTGTGCTGTCAGTACTCAGTAGCACTTTCTCTGATTATGAAACATTTGCACAAATCCCTTACAGCCAAAAGTGAACCTGGACACAACATACTTGTTCAGTATTTTCAAGTTTTTTGACTCGGTTAATTCTGAATCTACAAATTATTATTATTTCCCAAATTTTCTTGTTGATGAAAAAGTCCTAATGCAATTATTACAGTTTTGTCCTTAGTTTGGTAGAACAATTTCTTTTAAATATAAATAAATTTAGTCAAAACTGGATAAATTCTTTGTTCTTATTCTAAATTCTCTTACTTTTAATGAGTTTACAGTTAAAGACTCTTTTTCCTTTGCACAAAAAATTTCTAAAATTACCAATGCTGATCAATATATTCTTTTTAGTTTTGACACTGAACCTTTATTCACCGATACTCTACTCAAGGAAACAATACAAATAATCTTAAAGAAACTTTTCCCCAACAAAAATGAAAAATACACAAACTGCCAACAGTTCAAAGAACTACTCAAACTTGCCCTCAAAGATAATCACTTTATCTTCAATAGTCAACTATATGACCAACTAAATGGGGTCACCTTTAGGGCTGGCTCTCACTAACATATTTCTCTGTCACTATAAATGGTCATGGCTATACACCTGTCTTACTGGGTAAAAACCAGCTCTACATAGAAGACATGTGGACAATACATTTTTACTCTTTTGAATCTCCAATCACATCCAACAGTTCTTGGATTATTTAAATTATAAACATCCTAACATTAATTTTACCTGTGTAACTGAAAAAACAAATGGTAAATTGCCTTTTTCTTGATATCCAAATAAGCAGGTCAGACAACCAGCTTACAACATCTGTTTATCGTAAAAAAAAAAAATACAGGCTTCTATACTCGTTTCAAAAGCTTTATTATGGACTCGTTTAAACATAACCTTATACTCAGTCTTCTCCATAGGGCATATAACATCTGTTCTGACTTCCTCTCTCTTCCCACCAAAATAACCACTTTACAGAATATTCTAATAGACAATGGCTATTCTTTGCATTTTATTGAAGCTCTAATACAAAAATTCCTTTCTAACAAAAATGAACCTCCAAGAAAGCCATATACTGTTGACAAATACCTAATAAGACTGCATTTCCTTTCTTCGGTAAACAAAGTTTCACACCAAAGTCACAAATTATTAAAACAATTAAATCATTTTATCAACAGGTTAAACTAAAAACGATATTTAAATCATCTTTTAACATTCAGAATCTATTCAGGTCTACAGACCTATTACCTACGCCTATGCATTCCAAGATTGTGTATAAATATACATATGATGGCTGTAATATCACTTACATTGGCAAAATAATATGGCAATTACACTTGTGAACCTGCTAGCTTATGGGAGTATGAAGCAAAACTGGAAAACAACTCTCAAACCCTCCAGACTATGCAATTTGTAAACAGCAACCACCTCATCTTGATTAAATAATTTTAAAGTCATTTCATCTGGATCATCAAACACTGAACTTTTTAATTAAAGAAAATCTACCTGTTATAAAAGAACTCCCAACTCTAAACACTAACACAATTTTGCTACAATGAATTTTGTTTTGAAAAACCTATATAATTCAGCAATAAAAATGTAATATTGTTACAACTGTTGCATTTCATACCTATTCTATTGCTTTTTTGAATTAATTTTATCCTTTTGTTCTGTATTTTAATTCCTCTTTATAACATGTTTGAATTTTATAAATTTAAAGAAATCTTTGTATCTAGCATTCCACCTTGTTTAATATAGCTTGTTGAAGATGTAATATGTATAATCTAAAAAGTTCAAGAATTAAATGTTTGTTACCATCCCACACATCAAAGGTTTGTTGTTATTCAAGTGGTACTATTATTCATTATTAACCTTTAATTCCTGTTTAATGAATCTACAGGTACTGATATGATTTTTGTGGAAGAGTATAAATATTATTGTGACAGCACATGATACCATTACTATTTACTAGTCATTATTTTATATTGTAAAAAATAATATTTATTCAGGTTACTTCTCTATGACAAGTTAATATGAAAAACATTCTGTTGTTATTCATATTTTGCTAGAAATAAGAAACTAATGATATGAAAAACAGTAAGAATACCAGCAGACATTAGTGACCCAGTCTCTTACAAATGGCAAAACTGAAAATCAAACTATTGATTCAACAACAAATAATTTTACAAATAACAAAAGACAAGAACTTAAAAAAAACTATTTAATCAAGTATTAAAGAATACAGATTGTAGGTTATATAAAATATTTGATTTATTGCACTATTAATTCTTCTTTTTATACCTTCATATCTAGATTATAATTCAATGTTAGGCTGTTACTTGTTCATGACAAAACATACATACAATGAAGAATATTTACATTTTATGTAACTTGTGGTTTCACATTTGCTGTGGTAAAACATTAGCGTTAGTAGTTTTTCTTTTTGTAGAATTAATGCTGCAATTAACTAATTAGTGTGAGCTAGCACACAAACTCAAGAAACAGTTGAACTAAATGATAAGAGATATGAAAAAATATATGAACATAATAAAAACTAACAAAAAATAGAGAGAGATTATACCTCATATTCATCTTTGAGGTTTGATTTGGTAGGATAACTGGATAGACACTTTGATATAGGATCTATTACTATATGTGTCTTACTGAAATGGATATCCATAAATGTTTAAGAATGTGTATGAATGTTATATATATATTTTAGTTTTTAATATATATTCTTAAAAACAACCACTGTTTTGGATATTAATAATGCTTAATTCTCCTGGAACATGTTTAGTATTGAGCAAGATAAAAATTAACATATTGTTGCGTCAGCGAGGTCAAGTGACTAGTGTCACGCCACGTTTCTAGAACTATCTTGTTCCTTCGTGAATGCCCTAGCATTTACTAGATATATGTTTGTCTGGTATATATATAAGATGCTCACAACGTGACAGGGACAACAATGTGTGTAGGTAGTGAGTAATTGATCTGCAGTCAGAGAGTATTGTTGAAGTTCGTTATAGCGTTTGTTTTAGCGCGAATGTTGAAATCAAGTGTATCGTAAAGTTATATTTAGAAAGAATAAACCAGTTTTATTAAGTAAGGACTTGTGTCGCTAAAGTTTCGTCAGAACGAAGTTACGGAAAGTTAATTAACAAACGGAGACGTAACAATATCTTTCAAATGTGTTAGGGTTGTATTTACATGAAACTAAGTGCTGCTCCTAAGGAACCAAACATAAGTTTTTTAACATGTGGTCTAGTACTAAGACCAGATAAAAGTTCGCTGACTGAAGCTCAGAAATCCAGGTTTTCTGATATGTTTCAATGTAACATTATTATTAAAAAACATTGTTACCATTATTTTTCCAATTTTTTAGAAACATAGTTAAGTTGGAACATTCTTCTATCACATTGCTTGGGTAAAAGGTTTATCATTAAGCCAATATTTGATTTAATGTAACAATGACTCAATATTTAAACACTTCAACAATCTCTTTGATGCTCAAGTAATCAAAAAAGACTAAGCCAAAATTAGCATAACTGTGATGACTTGAACTAGGATTAGCTTATATCTGTACTTTTAACTGAAAATACTATATCTTGCACTCAGGTGTAACAACCTAATCAGAGAAGATATCCAGTGACAGACCAACATGCTAAATAAGTTCATTTCTTAACACAGCTATATACAGTTTAATTATTTAATTTCATTTTCTTTAATTGAAAGACCATTTTTGTAAAACTATGTGTATAATCATTAATGACAGCCTTATAATGTGGCATCATATTGTTGTTATGAACCTTTTCTCAATAAATATTCTATGTATTTGAAGTTCAACAGAATGCTTCCTGTGTGTAAATATATTTGTCAAATTCTTCATCAAAATTGTAATAATAATTACAATCAATACACACATCACAAATGCTATCCAGGCAAATAACCCAGTATGAAACCATTGCACATCATCAGGAGAAGGAATCTTTCTTCTAATCCTCACAAATATACAAGCATAAATATCTACCCTGTTTCTAACTCAGAGTCTTCCAGCATACAAGAGTAAAAAAAAGTCTTGTATATATATATATATATATATATATATATATATATATAGTTTTTATAATATATATTTTTTTTCTTTACT